CATCTTGTCTCTGTCCCTCTCAGAATCCAACCTGGCAGGGTTTCAGATGATGGAACATTTTTAAAGACTCTGTGGGTCTCCTGTGTATGACACAGGGATCCATGCCATTACTCATGATCTTTCCTGGATACTCTCTTCTCTATTCCTGGTTTCTGCTGTGACAGCTGAATAGATCCATGAGTCACCTGCCTAAGCAATTTTAACACTAGCAAACACTTCCAGCCACACCCACGACTTTCTCCCCACAGCAGGCTTTCCTAAGAACAGGTCTCCTAATTTTATCATCTTTTGATAAAAAGATATCATCTGGCTAGGTTGAGAATTTCCCAAATCATCAAGTATTGATTTCTTTGTTTAGAAGGTATTCCCTCAATTTAACTCTTTCCTCTCACACTTTATTTTAAGCAGCAAAGAGAAACTAGTCCAAACCTTCAACACGTTGTATCAAAATCTCCTCAGCTAAATATCCAAGTTCACTGCTTACAAGTTATGCTTTCAACAATTCAGCTAAGTTTTCTGCCACTATACAACGATATCATCTCTCCTCCAGTTTTTAATATTATGTTCCTCATTTCTTTCTGAGCCCTCCCTCACCAGCACCTCTAACATTCATATTTCTACCCACATTCTGTTTATGATAATATATGAATTCTCTTAAGATCAAATAGGTTTTATCTACTATACAAAAGTATTTAGTAACAGATATATGAAAACTTAAATATATACAAACATACACAAAATATCATAATGGACCAATGATCTATCTTGCCTGACAAATTGTTGATCATTCATTAATCTAATCTTTATTAAATGTCTATGTAGTTGGTGCTTGGGATACAACAGCAATCAAAAGACAAAAATCCCTGTCCTTGGCATCTTGTATTCTTGGACACAAGAATGGGGGGAAGCCAAGGGGAAAATAAATATAATGAATAAGTAAATTACAGACTATAATTAATGCTGTGGGAAAAAAGTAAAAATAGAGGGAAATGTTCCAATTCTGAGCATGGTAGTCCTCACTGAGAAGGTGAACTTTGAGAAAATACTTTGAGCAAAATAGATAAGGGAGTTAGCCACCTGAGGAAAAAGATTCTAGGCAAAGAGAAAAGCAAGTGTTAAACCAGACCACACCTGGCTTTTCAAGAATAGAGTGCAGTGAACAGGGAGAGAATAATAAGGGATGAAGTCAAAGCAAATTGGGTGTGGGGGAGCGGCAGATCTTGGAGGGTCTTAGAGGCCACGGGGGAGTCACTGCAAGGTTTTGAACAGAGGGAAAAAAAAAAATTGATTTTGGTTTTAAAGTCCAAGAAATGGTTTATAAAAGTCATTTTCAAGGCATGCACTCAAAATGAGAAAAATCTCCCCTTAATTACACTAATGCTTTATTTATAACTTATTATCAACCAAAGCCTCATTTATTCTATTTCTAAACTACCTCATTCAAGCTTTAAGGAGTACTTTCCAAGTTAAATATCCTGGAATTTGTTGGTTCACTCAAACATATACTTCCTCATCCATACTGCCTCTCAACTTTAATTTTTAATCCATTCTAATGATATTTTCACATGAAGTCTTTCCTCACTTGGCTTATTATGGCCATTATTCCTAAGTCTTTTTCTTCTTGAATGGTGGGAACAGTAACTGCATTTCTCTACTTCATTTTCAGGTGCTTCGGGGATACATTTGAGACTTACGATTGGGTCAGTGTCTTTAGAAAACATCTAACAGATTCTCTTAAGTGTGCATAAAAGGTAATTTGCATCTTACAAGTATAAAGTTGGGTTATTCTAATCTTTTTCTTATTTTTATATGCAATTGAGCTCAACTTTCATTTTTAAAGCAACTAACAGGGCTTTATGACACTGTATTGATTTGTTCCCATAAGCTTGATATTTTAGCAACAGAAATACATATAATTTGAAATCTGGGTGATTTCGTTAATGAAAATGCCAGGAGCCTGCCGTTGATGCATCTCCATCCAGAGAAGTCTGTTCCTGTGTAATTCCCTCTCTCCATAAACACACACTCTTCCCACAAATCTACAATAATTCAGAAGTTTTTGTTTGGTTTTATTTTCTAAGGGGAGGAACCCACAGAGAAAGGCATCAATATTTATGTTATAAACTACATCTGAGAGAGCAGACTTTATGAAAGAATAAAGATTCCTGGTTTTCTTCCCATTATATCTTTTCACCTATATTTAATACATATTTAGAGACCCCAAAATGTTTTTAAAAAGAAATTTGATAAAATCTAAGGATAAAAATCCGGGTCTCAGTATAGTTTATACCAACTTACTAGGACATCTTCAGCCATTCGTCACCTTGTGGTTTCCAACTTCCTTTTGCCAACTGCTCAAAATTTGTGATAATGCTACCACCTGCCCCTAAAAATAAGGAAATAAAACAAGAATATTTAGCCAAATTTTCTAGAGAAAGTATCTGCAACAAAGCCATAATTTTATCTCCTGACTTAAAATTCCTAGTGGACCCTCAAAATTATAGGAAGAAAAAAAGTTGTCTTGTGCATTTATAGCACTGACGTTACTGTAATTCTTCCCTTTTGCCAGCACAGCATAATTAAGGTTAAAATCGGGGCCTCCAGCACAGAGACGTGGCTACAGGTTTGTTTCAGACCTGAAAAATCAAATCCTCGGCTTTATCATTTCTTTCCTTCATATTAGTTTTAGGTGCAATATACTATAACAAGAGATTGGAGAAAGTTGTTCAAGTCCTACATATAAAAGAACTCAATAATAAAAATAAGTAATGTAAAGTAAACATGAACCCATAATCAATCAGATTCATCATTTCCAGTTATGTAGGATGAGAAAAAAAACAGAGTAAATTCTTTTTCACCCATACACCAGATAATTTCTTATGTAAACTAATTTTACTTATGGTGGCACTACACCTTAATTAATTATGAATCTCTCTGGTTCTGGGGCTGCTAATCAAACCAATCATAAAAGTTTTATATTGTAAGACAGTCAGGCTCAAAATAATGGCTGATGGCTAGTACTAGTGAAAAGTGCTAGTTTTGAATTAACTTTACTAGCCAACAGAAATAAGGCTTCCATCCTCCAAAAAGACTTTGTCATTAAAGTATGTAGTCCCCGTTAATATAACTAGAGAAATGTTCAGTAGTCGTAGTGTACCAATAACAGAATATTTATATGAACACATACTGTTAATATTACCTCGGGCCCATCCAATAGCTATCATGACTATCCAGCCATTTTTGTAATAGCTATTAGCATGTGTGACTCCACCTACTATTTTCCAAGTTCTGGTCACTTCCTTCATTCCCGCAGCCAAGAGTTGAACAGGTAGGAAAGAATAGCCCTGGGAAACGAGGTCATATGGGCAAAAAAAAATAATATACCTGAAATTAAAATTTAAATATTTTAATATATAAATGAAATCAGAAGACCAGAAATAAAAATCCAGCATATTAGCAATAACTATTTGGCAAAACACAACAACCATATAAACATGAACGTAAAATCCATATAAACACGAAATTTGACTTTAAGATCACAAATTGGGTGAAGTAGATTTTTTTAAATCACATGACACTCATATAACAGTCTGCCCAAACATCCTGATCAGAGAAAAATTTCATCTTGTTTAGACTTATGAATACTCTAAATATGCGAAAAGTATTTACTAAGCTCCTAATTTGTGCTGATACTCTTTGAGAAGTTAAGTGCTGAATCCACTAACAAAATAAAGCAAATGCATAATTAATTCTAGGGAAAGGATTTCTATAGCTAGAGTGTCTTTTTTCTCTGGGAAAACAAATTAGAAAAGGGCCTTTGGTAACTGAGCAAGGGCCGCATTTCAGCTCCACTAACATCTTCACCTGTGCTCCTTTGTGCAGTACATAAACTGCAACCTATATAAAGAAAGGTCATAGCTCTCAAGGAGAGAGATTTGTATTAAGGAAAAACATTTTCATGTAGCTGAAAGAATAGGAAGCTTGTTCTTCCATTTAGTTGAATAAGCTTAAGTTTTAACCAATTGAATTGTGATATTAGTTTGAGAATAATTCACTCCTCCTCAGGTGAACTAGTTTTTGAAGCTTCATTTGTTCTAAGCGGCTGTTCAAACAGTTTAGCAGTAGTGTTAAACTGGAAAATACACTACTTCCCCCCGCCCCATTCCTAAAATACTCTCTGGCAGATAATTTTGTGCTTAAAGCAGAACATATCTTCTTTCTAATGGAGCGATGTGGCATACACTGCATGGAAGTATTATGTTTCTTCTAAAAGAAGTTGTTAATCTTACTGCAATTCATGATTCATAAAGTAAGAATTCCCAAAAGTATTCATGGAATATGAAATCTATTTGCCAAAATAGTGCTTCAGAGACCCAATACAAGATGCAATGGTTTGTTCAGCCTGAGGCAATCTTTCTTCTTTATCTCCACTTCCTATTATTTAAGGTCCCACTCAAACAACTATACACTGACTCTGCAAGTTTTGTTTTATTTAATATTCTCAATTCAGACTAAATTCTAATGGCTCTGTGCAACTAAAACAATTGGTTCCTATGCCTCAACATAGTTCTTTATTATACATTTTTCTGTTTAACATATAAAGGCTGCAATGCTCATAATAAATTATAATAGTCATTAGATGGCAAGAAATCATTCATCTTATCCCTTCACTCAGCATGATGAAAAGTAGTCCTGAATTAAATCATTTATTAACAATTAATCTGGAGGCAAAATACAAAATATATATCAAATCAAAGAATCAGTTGATAATTAAAGAGTTTGAGGAAAAGGAATAAATTATCTGAAAGTAGTAAAAATCTTTTTGAAAATGACTGGTAGATTTAAAAATATTACATGTTCATATAATATTTTCAAAGCCTCTATATATTTTTCTCTTTAAGTAACAGATTTCCAGGAAGTCGGTTGGGTTTCAGGGGAAAAAAAATGAGTTACACTTAAATAAACAATTTTAAAACGTATTTTTAAATAAAATAAAAATATTGTGGTATCCACTGTAGATAGGTTAAGAAGGGAGGATTTGGCTTCAAAAGTAAAACAAAAACAAAGAGAACACAAATGACCCCATTTTCATTCTCTACACCGAGATTATCTTCAACATTAGTTAAAAACCTATATCCTATTACAAGAGCAATCTTGGACTTTTTATATTCAACTATGTAACATCATGACATATGATCTAAAATTTGTAATTATTCCTATTTTAATAAATAACTTTATTCTATTTAATCAGCTATTTCTAAAGTAGACCTATAATATACTCATATTTTAAAACAGCTTTTGTTTCAAGTGTTAAATAGTCACAGAGAAATAGAACAATTGTTTATTGTGCTCAGTAGACTCACAATATATCAGACCAATGGTTCCCTAACCAACCATTCCTTCTCTATAACACAAGTTAGCTTTTTAAAATTCCTTTAATGAATCACTCAACCAACACTCATTAAGCAATCATCATGTCCCTCCTTAAGTAAAAATTATAATTTCACCTTTAACTAAAATTGTCACATCTAAGGAATTTTAACTTGTAAAATACCTAAAGAAAACATATCAGAAAAGAAGAAGAAATGGAACATATTAGACAAGAAATGGAATGAGAAGGCAGATGATTTATCATACATTTTTAAGTCAATTAGGTTTATGAGGAGGAAAAAAATGACAAAGAATAGTGCTAAATAATAGAAGTCAGTCTAAAACAGGCTACAAACAGGATGCTAAGCCACTGATGAATGAAAGCTAAACCAGTTTAATTAGGAAAGAAATTAGGTTAATACTAAAAGTTCAGCAGAAAGATGCTTCCCATGGTTAGTCACTGAGAACTGTTTTCACTCTATTAATTCCACCCCTCTATCAAAGGCAGTATTACATTAACTAAGCCAAATAGAGCTAGGTACTAAATACAGTTCACATTAGTCCAATATGACAGCTTTGCTCTTACTCTTATTACTCTAACAAATTAATAACTTTATATGCTTTAAAAAAGACTACTGCAAGATGACAGACCTGTACAACTTTACCTATTATTGTATTTTTCCTCATAAAAATGCAGTCTCAATTATACAAATATGTAATATATAATAGATACTTGGAAGTCTAAGGAAAACAAACTGGGCTACAAAAATCAATACAAAGAAAAATTACAAAATTAAGCCTTGTTTCCATAGTGTAAGTGGTTATCACGTTTGCCTCACAAAATATTTACTACTTCCTCCAGAAACAGTTTTCAAAAAGAAAAATCCTCACAAAGTGTACACTGTCTTCCAAAGTTGTTGCTCTTTGCCAGTAGATGGCGCTAATCTCCAGATGTGAGCACTTTGAGCACTTCTTTGTACTAAAGACCTGTCCAATAAGCGCACTCACAGAATCCCGTTGGTTTAGCTTGCTGGAGTTTCAAGTACACTCCAAACATCATTTTTTCTCTCAAACTAAAATCAGATGAAGCAAAG